TCAGCTCATCGGGACGAACATCAGTGAGGCGAAGATCTACCTGCAGACTGAGTCCTCAGAGTCATCAGTGCAGGATGTTCTCCTGGTTAGTACTTCCTTGTGTCTTTTAGTCATTAGTTACATGTTATTAGAGTTTATTAGAGTATAAACATTTTCATCATCTTTCTTTGGGTATTTGCAGAACACACAGGTCTCTGTTACATTCAAGGGGGTTTACATCGACACGGAGGGCCGCTTCAGGTGTCACGACTCCAGTGGTGCCCAAACCCTTGAGACACCTTTTGTGTTTCCCAGCAAACCACGAGGACCACCACCAGGGTTTTAAACAGCTGCAGGACACTTTAGGCTTTGTATCATCTTTTTGATTTCATTACTGTAGTGATGGTTTCTGCACATCCATATGTTAACATTCTGTATGTGTTTCTGTGAGGGTGTGTGTGTGTCTGTGTGTGTGTGTGTGTGTGTGTGTTTCTTTCAGGTGCAGTTGGTGTTCTAATAATGGGAGGACCTGAATGTTGGCCTGATGGAGCATGGACGAGGAGCATCCCGTCTATGGAAAATCTTAAGACCCCCCCCAACAACTCTCCACCCCCAACCAAGGTTCCTCCCTTTTTACTTTTTGCTGTTTTAAGATTTGTGAAGCAAAACACATCCACCAGTTTCATCTAAGCGTGTTGAGATTATCATTTTCAGTTTTTTTTGTCCTTCTTTCTATCTGTCCTCCATGCAGGGACCCAGTGCAGCATTCTTCCTGGATTAGAGACTCCAGACAACAGAGGGACCTGAACATCTGAACTCCACCAGGACACCCTGGACTAGAGGACTGTTTCAGTTTAAGGACGACGTCACAGGATAGAAACTTTTGTCTACGGAAGGCTTCTTAGAAAGTTTCACACAACCATCAGAGACAGTATGACCTACATGATGAGACATGAAGAGGCCCAAAAGAGGAGAATGATGGACTCAGATCTTCATCTTTGTCATCAGCACCAGCACCGTTACCATTGACCATCGTTTTGGAGATTATCATCTTTGTTACGATCAGGACCAGAATCACCATCATTCTACTAATCATCATTTCTCTCTTCTATCTGAACAGTGGACATGGACTAAGTCAGTGGACATTACTTCCAAAAGATCCCATCAGCTGACCAGTGTTAAAGCTGTGTATCTGAAGCTAAAACATGGACTTCTATTGAGAAGCAGCCGAAAGGCCTCCTAGCCTGAGTACTAGACTGTTGGTTGTAGTTCAGTTTCTTCTGTTTGGCTGTAACTGATAGTTTGGCACTTATGCTGGGACTGATGTCGTCATCATTCTACATACTTTCATTGAAGTAAGAAAACAGGATTCTCTTAATTGCATTTCAATGCAATGATCTGTAAAATGTGTATTTATTGCAGCCTAATAAATAGTTTTTATTTCTCAATTTGTCTTTTTTTGTTTACTCTGATATCATCATCATTGACGTTTATTAAAAAAAAATCCAGTTCTGAGTTTTTATCATGAATGCATTTCATCATGTGGGCCGAGCAGCTGATTACTCAGTCATGATGAGCAACATCAGAATGTGGAAGTAGATCTATTTCATCGTCCTTCTTAATCAGCTGGACCATCTGTATATGGCTACTATTGGTTATTATTTGGACCATCTGTATATGATATTACAAGCTTTACTCCATGCTCCATAATTTATAGCAGCAGATCTGAACTCCAATCGCAGAGAAACACTGGACTGCACAGTTTTAGGTCTCCTCTGCCCAGCACACCTGATAAAGAGTTTAGCTGATGAGCTGGAACAGATGTGTTGAGGCAGAAAACAGCTGGATCTGTGCAGGCAGTGGACCTTGAGGACTGAGAAGCCCTTTTATCACTCTTGCACTGTTTCTAATACTAGAAAGTTATGAATAATCCAGCTAATACCTTTTGCTTATTGTCTTCTGAAATTACATAGTAATTTCCTAAAATATATATTTAATTGCTACTTTAAAACATCTTGATTGAGATATAACTCCAGCAATGTGACTGGCAAGGTACATTCTCTATCTTGCAACCTGACTGACTAGATGAACTCTCCTTTCTGCACTCTAAATTGGTTAGTTCAACTTTCCTTCCTGTGATGTGATTGGTTAATTGAACTCTCAGTCCTCCAATCTGTTGGAGTTGAATTGTCTTTGCTGTTTTTGTCAGTTATTTTTTGTCACGTTTTGCAATAACAAAGTTTAGACAGACACGTTGCTTAATATGAACATAAAATCTCGTGTCAGTGTTTCACCAATGCTGCTCCTGAAGATCTACCTTCCTGCAGAATTCAGCTCCAGCCTGAATTGACACATCTGATCCATCTAAATAAACAGAATGATGATCTGGATGATCAATCAGGGTTGAAACTGAACTCTTTAGGAATGTAGATCTCCAGGAGCAGGGTTGGTGACCACTGCAATATGATGACCTCTATACAGTCCACTTTGCTGGTCATCAAATTTAACCAACCCGTGCGACAGCTAGGGGCATCAAGGAGACGAATGGAGCCAATTCTAATACACACTTACTGCCCAGTGCATACATATTGAATGTGTATTGTATGAGGGGCTTATCCAGATCAGGCACTATGGCTGTAAACTACATACAGCACCAGTATATATTGTACACTGCATGTTCCTCTTTATCAGTTAAGAACAGTCCTGACAATGTCTGCCTGTCTGCCAAGAAAATCTACTCCAGCTAAGTTAATGGAAAAAAACACCAAATGAAATAAAAACAGTAATAATAATTGTCCAAATAATCATGACAGAGAGAATTCCAGCTCAGCACTTCAGCTTTATGTTCAACAGTGTGTCTTTCTTGGTACAAAGAGCAGGTTTTACCTGAATGACTTGATTGTTTGAAAATAAGACCATATTAAAATGTTACATAAATTAGAAGATAAAAAATACATAATGACAGCAAAGCAGCCAGTTTGTCCTCATTAATATGGAAAATGTAACAGAAGCCTCTGATATTTGTCTCATTTTCAGATACTTGTTCTAAAGCCATCTCTCTTTTTACTCATCTCTTTCTTCTCCTCTATAAAGTGTGTCCCCACAGTGGAGGACATGTGGACAATGTGGCTATTTCTGTTGATCTTGAAAATATTTTCCAGTGTTTATTTAATGTGTCAAAAACTGAAAATATATATATTTTATATATATTTATCTCTTAATGAAATACATACAAAGGCTGAAAATGATTAAAAACCAGAGGTTTAATTAAGGCAGCAGTATGAGCAGTGATTCATGGGTAATCCATCAAGAGCTGTAGTGTCCAGTATTTACTGCATAGGCTTCTTTTCTGTATACGGAGCTCATCATTAGTCTTTACTGAAATCAGGCAGCTGTACAGAATGAACGAAAGCAGATGCTGTAGCCTTTGATGTCTGAGTCCAGTGCTCTTGTATTAAACTCTTTACAGTAACACCAGTGTGTTCAGACAGTATTTACACAAAAACACAACAAACACTGAAAACTGTGCTGTGTTGTGTGATGATCAGTTTAATCACTTCAGTTTTACCTTATAGCTTCAACTGAATGATTTCTCAGAAATGGATTAAACTTAGTGCTGGACTAAATTACAACGGCAGTGGTCACCATTAAGAAATCCTCCTGTTTGGCTTAGGTTTAGGTTCTGTCTGGGTCTAGGAAGCCGGCCCTCAGTAATACAGTCAGAGTAATACACCAACTGCACTCATTCCTGGTTGTTGGTGGGAGAGAGTTACTGAAATGAGCAGACTGTGATCTCTAGTGTTCCACAACTAATTCAACAGATTATTATCCGCCTTTACATGTGTTGAATCATTTCTCTGAACTCTAAAAGAAATACAACCCCCATTTCCAAAAAAGTTGGGACGCTCTGCAGAATGTAAATAAAAATAGAATGCAATGATACGCAAATCATGTAAACCATATTTTTAAAGGAAAATACTACAAAGACAACATATGAAATGTTGAAACTGAGAAATTTTATTGTTTTTGAAAAATATATGCCCTTTTTGAATTTGATGCCAGCAACACGTTCCAAAACAGTTGTAACGCTTTGTAAGCGTTTGGGAACTGAGGAGACCAATTGCTGTAGTTTTGAAAGTGAAATGTTTTCCTGTTCTTGTTTGACACAGGATTTCAGCTGCTCAACAGTTCAGGGTCTCCTTTGTCGTATTTTTCATTTCATGATGTGCCAGATGTTTTCAGTGGTGACAGGTCTGGACTGCAGGCAGGTCAGTTTAGCACGCGGACTCTTTTAATACGGAGCAATGATGTTGTAATACATGTAGAATGTGGTTTGACACTGTCTTGCTGAAATAATCAAGGCCTTCCCTGAAAAAGATGTTGTCTGGATGGCAGCATATGTTGCCAAAACATGTTTCTATCATTCAGCATTAATGATGCCTTCACAGATGTGCACCTCACCCATACCATGTGCACTAATGCACCCCCATACCATCATTTATACTGGTTTTTGAACTGTGCACTGATAACAAGCTGAGTGGTCTTTCGCCCGGAGGACACAGCGTCCATCATTTCCAAAAAGAATTTCAAATGTTGATTCATCTGACAACAGGACACTTTTTCACTTCCACTCAATCCATTTTAAATGAACTCGTGTCCAGAGAAGGTGGCAGGGTTTCTAGATCCTGTTTATATCTGGTTTCTTCTTTGCGTTTTAGAGTTTTAGCTTGCATTTGTGGATGCAGCAACAAACTGTTTTCACAGTGTTTTTCACAAGTGTTTCTGAACCCATGCAGCAATTTCCACTACAGAATCATGTCTGTTTTTAATGCAGTGCTGTCTGAGGGCCCAAAGATCATGGCTAGCAAATACTGGTTTTTGATGAAAAGCAAAAGTTCTTTGCTTTCTTACATTGAGAAACATAATTTTTATTCTTGAATTGTTGCACTATTTGATTGTGCAGTCTTTCACAGAGTGGTGAACCCCTCCTTATCCTTACTTCTAAAAGACTCAGCCTCTCTGGGATGCTTTTTTATACCCAACCATGTTACTGACCTGTTGTCACTCAGCCACCAGGTGATTTAGCATTACACAACTTTACCAGCCTTTTGTTGCCCCATCCTAACTTTTTGGACCATGTCGTCGGCATCAAATTCAAAATGGGCAAAAATGTTTCAAAAAAACAGTGAAATTTCTCAGTTTCAACATTTGACATGTTGTTTTTGTACTATTTTCAATTAAATATGGGGTTTAAATGTTTTTTATATCATTGTATTTTGTTTTTATTGCCATTTTGCACAGCTTCCCAACTTTTTTAGAGATGGGGTTGTACACTCCCCTCAGTGATAGTGCTCTGTGTCTTTCTGGCCAAACAATGTAACAATAAACTTTCAAATCTATATTTCTATGAATAGATAATAAGTGTTTTATTTGAACACAAGTGATCACACTGATGACACTAGTGCCAGTCTAGTATCCTCCATATGCTCTTGGAGCCTTGTGGGCAGTACTGAACTGTCAGTGACATCAGTCCTGCTGGCATCTGGCAGTTTACTGGCAGGTATTGTAGATCTGGATCTGCTTGTTGATAGAATCCAGAATTGCCTTCATTTTATCTTCCAGACCATCGAGCTGCCTGGCTTTGCCCTCCAGTGTTTTCTGATTCTCCTCATAGTCTTTCTCAAGTTCTAAGAACACACAAAGAAAACCAGAATTAGGTTGTCAGATGTCCACAAGAGGGCGACATCACATTATTTTATGTCACATTATTTCTATGTCACAGAAATAAACACGAGTACAGATACATCAAAAAGTAGAGATAAAACATATCAGAACACAGAGAATAAAACTGGGGCAACCTGTGTTGGAGTTCATTTGTGAATATATGAACTATCGCTTTAATCTTCAGACATTTGTGTCTTACTAGTTATTCCATTCCAATGTTTACCTAAATAACTTCCTTCTGTGTCATTTCATTATTACAGTTTTATATCTGATTTGTACATTACTCTTCCACAGACAGCAGAATGAGCATTTATCCCGAACACGTCTTGGATAGGAATGTTTCTGAAGGATCCACATTAGCATTATGTGGAAATGACTGGAAGGGTTCATTTTGGCTTCTTTCTGTAACTCTCCTGTTGGTCTGGGTGAAACTGACCTGTCCAACCAAATTTTATGCTGAAAGTATTAAAATGGATCAGACCTCAATCCTCTAGCTTCCGCAGCATTTTCTCTTTACCTCACACTCACCTGCTAATCTCTGCAGTTTGTCCTGAGCATCCTTTAGCAGCTGCTTTGCATCGTCTCTCAACCGCTCTGCTTTTTTCTTGGCGTCCTGAACTGCATTTGCCTTCCTGCCTACCAGATCCTGAACAGTGCGGTACTTATCTGAAAGTTCACCATCCAGAATCTGAACAAAAAAAGTTGAGGAGGTTAGTACAGGAGAAATAAAACCAAATACCAACAATCACAAAGATAATGAACAGAACAATCTCACATACCTGCTTTGCTTCATTAGCCTTGTCTTGAGCCATATTAGCAGTCTCCTCAGCTCGTGCTGCAACCATGCTGTTGTTGGCCCGTTTGGCCTTCAAGGCTTCTATCTGCCGCCCCAGATCACCCAACTTGTCCATGGCCTCGTTCAGGTCCTTCTCACTAGCTGACGTTTCTGACTGAATCTTTGGAGACAGAATGTTTGTCAGACCGAAAACTTCAACATCTCAAGTTTTAACAGATGGTCTATGAAGTTGTACCTCAGCAAGTCGGTTCTCAGTCATGCCAATGTCATCTCTTGCCCTCTGGATGGCCTTTTCAGCAGCTGTCTGAGCCCTACGAGCATCATCCAGTGCCTGCTTCACACTGTCTGCTGTGTTCTTTGCCCTGTCTGCTTTATTCCTACAAAAAAAAAACATCAAACTGAAACGACACTGTCATGCTTTAAAACAAAAGACACACAAAAGGTAAATATCCCTCACACAGACATACACAACTATTTGTATATATACCTGGCCTTTTTGGCCTCCATCAGCAGCTTTTCCGCTTTTCGGACATCATCTTGTGTCTGCTCCAGAATGGCGTCCACGTTGGACAGACTCCTGACGCGATCTTTGATCTCATCAGCTAAGTGTTTGATTTGCTGGGGTGAGGCAGGGATGGACAGCTCAAGAACCCGATTGGCCACTGCCTCAATGCTGTCAGGGTCAGCTCCCTCTTCTGTAGCGGTCCAAACATTGAACACAGTCAGTTTAAAGTGACTCAAGGACCAAAGTGACTGAATATAAGCTGTACCAAAAACTAATGTTTACTTTCTTTCTTCTTCAATGAGAGTTTGGTTCTGATTATTAACAACACTCACTGTAGCAGGAGATTTTTTGGAATATACAAAGAGAATTCCATGAGAGGTGATCTAGAACATGACTGTACAGCTTGCACTTAGTAGAGGTTGTGTGTTACGTAGAGGTTGTGTGCTACAGTTTTACGTAGTCGACAAATCATAAGCAGACTACATATGACTGTGCTTCACTGAATGTGCTTACAATGTAATTTTCACATAAAATAATATAGAAGTAACACTACAGTAGAAGCAGTGATGAATTTTTAAGACTTTAAGAGTCTCACGCATAAGAAAGCCACGAATCTGCTTGATGAGGTCACGCAAGTCGTTGTTGGAACGCTCCACTTTCTTCTTGGTATCACTGGCTTTCTTCAGAGCAGCCTGAGCTTTATCTTTTGCTTCCTGAGCCTTCGTCTTTGCATCTGCAACCTGAAAAAGTCAAACAAGGAAAACATTCTCTGAAACACTTTAATAATCTCCTCGTGTTGTTGGTCCAGCTTCACTTTAGGTGTTTGATAACAAGTTAACTTCTGTAATAGAAACAGTGGTACAGCTACTGTGTGAAGCAGGAGTGCTCTTCACCTGCTTGAAGAGCTCCTCCACTTCTCCCATGGCTTTGATGAGTTCCTTCTCTGCATGTTTGGATCTTTCCAATGCATTATCAGCCACTGCAACAGCTCCATTACAGTTCAGTCCCCCACAGTGCCTGCGTCCATCATCACGACAACCAACACCACCGCAAGGGCTCTCTCCACATGGGACATCACCTGGAGCACCACATACCTAGGATGGACATGATGTGAACAAGAGTCTTTCAGTATTCGTGTGTGCTTTACAGTGTTTCGGCCAAGACAGAGTTTCCCAGAGTTTCTTAGGAGCAACATTAAAGCCTCTGACCTTCTCATTGATCTTCTTTATGTCAAGACCCTGTGCTTTTGCATTCAGGTCAGACAGAGCACGCTTGTTTGCAGCATTCTTGCGGTTAAAGTCATCTTTCTTCTCTGCAATGAGCCGCTCTGTCTTCTTGCGAGTGTCTGCTGATTGGCTGACGGTGCTAGGGGTGTCAGTAGTAGACTGGTTGGCACGGCGCTCTGCATCCCGAGACTTGTTGTAGGAAGCACGGATGCTATCGTATGCACCTGTGGTAGAAGGACAAAGGTGATGAGTGGCCTTGCAAACATTAAACAGCAAAAAAATCAATTCATCAATTTATTATGTACAGGTGCTTTACTTTGGGGAATGGAACATGTAGGATATACGTATATTTGAACTGTCTTTACTCTTGCAGTTAATATTTTAATTTGAAAGTAACAGTAAAAAAAAAAAAATACAAAAAGCCAGGTGCCCTCAAACTTTTGACAGGCAATGCAGGTCTAATAGGTGTGAATGAAGGACTGTTGGAGCATTTGTCCACTGAGTGAGTACACATGCATGCACATAGTCTGAAGAGGATCCAGTGCTAACCCAAGAAGTTGGAGTTTTTGAGGATGTCTAGCTGCTGGTTGAGCTGCTTAGAGGTGAGATTGAGCTCTCTGGCCTCTCTCTCCAGTGTGCTCAGCTCATTGCTGGCCTCATAGTTGCTATCCTGTACAGCAGTCAGGTCTCCTTCCAGACGGTTCAGTGTGTCTGTGGTCTCACCAATACGAGACCTGGGAGAGCAAAACAACAAAAAATGCACAGGCTGATGTTATAGGCAGTTGATTGAACTGAATAAAAGAATAAGAAAAACCTTTCAATGTAGTTTAATCTAGTAACTGCAACAATAAATCAGTGCTCTACCTGAGCTCCTCCATCATGCCCATTAGGGTGGTCACACCTTCAGCAGTGGCATTGCGTGCATTAACAATGCTCTGTGCCTGTGCCAGCTTCTCTTCCAGCTCCTTGAAATTCTTCTCATAGGCACCAATCAGGCCTGTGGACTGGATCTCCTGAGACCGGGCTGCGAGAGCCTTAGTTTTAGCAGCTAGATCTTGGACGATGCGGTCCCAGTCTCCAAAACACTGGTGACAAGGCTGACAGTCAGGGAACGTGCCTGAGAAGCCGCGGGCACACTGATCGCAGCGGACGCCGGATACGCCCTGTCGGCAAGCACAGTGACCCGTCACGCGGTTACACTGAGAGGTCTCAATGCCCCTATGGTCACAGTCACAGGCTGCGGAGAGAGGTGAAGGATAAGAGGTCAGTTAAATAACAGGCTTTACTGACGATTCAAGATCCTTTAGAATGACAGTTTAAGACAGACTAACCCCAAACTCCTCTTTATTAACTGAATTGTGTTACTAGTGATGAAATGCATGCAGCTTACATGGTGGTATTCAAAGTAGGGGTGGGCAATATGGGAAAAATATGATATAATATACTTGCGGTCAATATTGTCACAGTACATAATATGTATTATAATAGTTAGTGTTTCTAAGGGTTGATACATTGGAAGAGACAAGTAGTGGCAAATTAACAAAATACTACAAAGACTAGATTTTGGAACAATTTTACACATAATGTGTTACACAATAAATCCAATTAAACAGAACTTCTTATGCCCTCTTTTTAATAAAACACACGGTTAGTGTTCTTTAAATACTGATAAAATCCATGAAATTCTCAGAAAATGAAAGTGTATTGTTATGCATTTCATCAAAATATAATAAAATACTGTCAAACTGCCCACCCTTAATACAGACAGCAGCACACATGACAGCGACTTAATTCAATATTAGTGCAATATTAAGTTTAATGTAGTGTAAAGGAAAGTACCTCTACACTGGATTCTGGGATCTCCCCAGTAGTTCTCTTGGCAGTCCCTGCAAGTCCTTCCACCAAAGCCATCACGACACTGACACTGACCTGTGAACTGTGGGAGAACAGGTTTAAATACTAAAATAATTCCATGCTTTATTCCCTGGGATTTGATTCCTCCAGTCAACAGAGTGTGAACTGCTGAGTGCAGCAGAAAGAGAGAGAGAATGAGAGAGACAGGTACCTCATTGCAGGCAGACGTGTAGGCGTTATTGGGCTCACAGCCACATGGTTCGCAGCCTCGTCCACTGGCCAGGTTCCAGTAGTTTGGGGCGCAGTGGTCACAGGTGAGTCCGGTGACGTGAGGTAGGCACTGACATTGTCCTGTGGAACGCTGACACAAGCAGTCATCTCGGGATAGACACTGACTGCGCTCTGTACCCAGGAAGTTGCATGTGCATTCTGGGAAGATGAGAATAATTGCATTAAATGGCGTATGTGCATTAGAATGACGAGAGAACTGAGATTATTTAAAAAAACATATGATTTCCACAACATTTCACCACAAAGTTGATCACCCAAGTCATGTTTGGTGTCTGACGCTGTATTACATATAGCTATGTATGAAATCAACAAATGTATGGTGCATATCTAAAAAATCATCACTGAAGTTTGTCCACATTTTTGTCAATTTTTAATGAATGTCATATATGAATGTTAGATACCAAACATGACCTGGAAGACTGGAGACACCGCTGGTGGAAATAAGTAATTGTACACAACATGTAGAAGAACAATGTTGTTATGTCTGTGCTTCTGACTCCTTTCTCGAGCAGATGAATCTGTTGTGAGCGCCTTAAGAGTATCAAAAGAACATTCAGTCAAAACCTGGAGAAGGACTTCCAAGGATGTAAGTAAACTGCTACTATAATATCTTCATCAATATAATGGTAACTTTGCATTTGAGACCTAAACATTGAGCTGGATCTTCCTTTTGAGTCTGTGCATGTGACGTTAACATGTAATAACTAATAATAAGTAAAGATGTATGTCGTGGTTTGAAAAGTTCCCATGGAATCTCACCTGACACCTCTGACTTTTAAATTATTATTTTAGGCTTTACAGAACTCGCAGGACCACACGAACACACCATATTTCAGCATGTTTTTTTCTTTTGACTCAGTAATGCTACTTCTTTCAGTTTTCTTAGGGCTACTTTAAGCATGCAGTATGCGTGATCCTAAATGGTGTACATATGCTTCAAAAACCTGTGGCTCCAGGGCAAAACTAAAGACGTTCACATACACGCCTAATTGCACAAATCCGATTTTTTCTCAAATCCGATCTCTCTGACAGGATGGTTCACACTTGTTTAGGTAAGTAATTCAAATCTGTCATTAATGTGAACAGTCCTGGAATGACCTGCATGTGCACATCCTACTCAGTAAGGTCACGTGAATGAATCACATGCGTCACGTGCATCATCAGCAAATAAATGAGCAGAACGAGCCTTCGCTGCGAAGATAATTAACTCTGCTGCTCATTATTAGAGCGAGATGAAGGCGAAAAGGGTAAGATGCGTTGCTTTTCCACTGTTTACAGGCTTTAAACTCTGTTCGGTGCTGCTGCCATGGTAACGCTAAACGATGGTGCATGCACAGTGGAAAAAAAGGTCATGAATTCCTATATGAGCGTTCACATTATTGTCGCATGGCCACGAATTGGATACATATTTGATCTAGGACTACATATGAAAGTGGCTCAGGTCGGATTTGAAAAGATCAGACTTGTGTGTCCACACAGTTCTGAAAACATCACATCAGGGCAAAAAATCGGATTTGTGCCACTTCAACATGGTGATGCGATCATAGCCTTAGACACCAAACACTCTAAAAAGTAATAGAGAGACTGTTGTTGTCTAGTTGATTGTTAGTTTGCGACTCATAATAACTCACTCCTGCAGTTGCGGCGAGAGCCATCCCCAAAGTATCCGCTCTTACACACACTGCAGTCAGGCCCCTCGGTGTTGTAGAGACATTTACGACACTCCCCAGTCCGCCTGTCACACGCCACGGGATCTGATAGGTCGATGTTGTTGTTACAGCGACAGGGCTGGCACTGCCCACCAGGTTGAGAAGGATTGCCATAGTAACCAGGCGCACATTCCTCACAGCGCACACCTGGCGGACACAGAGTTAAGGTTACAGAGGAATAAACACTGATATGAAGAAAAGGGCAGTGCTGGAGTGAGAGACATGGAAAGTGCATTTGAGTGAACAGGGCCTTCATTCAATATATTCAGTACTACAAGATGGCCAAGTTCAAAAGAATTAACAGAGCAACTGTTTTTCCAGAAGTTCTCTACGTGAAGCCCTGTAGCGATATATATTCCACATATAAAGACATTTGTTATTTGAATGTCATGTTTATGGCACAGAAGAGAGCAGCTGATGCCCCAGCCCAGTGGCTCTTCTATTTCTAAAGCCAAAGCCCTGTCAAATTCACCTTTAAAAACACTCAAAAAGACTGAATAAGGTGGAATGAAGCTGAACAAAAGCAGAGCATTCCTTCCATGTTATCGGAGTTCATGTGAGAACAGCACCCCTGAAACTGAACCAATTTTTATTAAACTGAAGGGAGAGACTCAGAGATAAGCATGGGTGGGACTCCTGAAGCTGGAATCTCTGTTTATTAGCCAAATCACTGCAGCTCACTTTAGACTGTTTTGGCAAACCCAGTCAGGGTGTGACACTAACATGGTGTTGAGACAGAGAGAAGAAGAGACATTCTTGGTATTTTTCCACAGCTGATGGCTGTGGTAGGGTGTAGAAATGCTGCTCTTAGAATCTGGATTTGACATCTGCAGCTGTACCACTGGGCCTGAAATCTCTCCATTTATTTATCTTTATGTCTGCTCTGTGGCATAAACACAGTACACTGATAGGAATATCAGCTGTATAAGCTGTTCTTGAATGTACAGAGGTTCCACAAAGCTATGGTGAGCAGAAACAAGTATTCAGACACTTTTGTTTTTGTTATTAAAACCCTTAAATGGCCAGGGGCCACCAGCGCACCCAAAGTTTTATTATACACTTCTATCACTTAAGAACAGCTCAACCAGTTTGCACCGAAGTCCCTGTAGTTACAGAGTAATAAGCCTTAGTATGTAATCAGCCTGGGAATTTGAGGGGTTATTATACTTCCAGAGCACACAGCCACTTGTGACTATGAACAAAAAGTATTTATTCATAAGCATAAACAAATATATTTTAAAAATACAAAATTGATAGGGAAAAAGGAATTCAGACATCACATATTAATAACATTAGTATTTTTTTTACAAAGCCAATGCTGGACTAATTACATCTTACCATAACTTTGAGACAGTTATGATAAGAAGCAATTATCTTATTGCAGCATCGTGGTTAAATTTTGGCACATTGGCAAACCATCTTCAACGGCCCAAAGTTATGAGGGACCCCCGATTGGACTTGCATTTTCAAAATCCTCCACAAATTCTCATTGGGATTCAAGTGAGGAGTCTGGCTGGGTCATGCAAGCACCTTCACCTTCTTTCATAAAAACTAGTATTATTTTGGCAGTATGTTTTGGGTCATTGTCTTCTCCTCAGATTCTGTTTCTCGGCCGATGAAATAATATTTCCCATTAATACGTCCTGAGACTCTGTTTATGTTTACTTAGATGACCTGTAATGCCCAGGTGACTGAAATAACCCATCATGATGCTCCGCCTCCGTACTTCACTGGTACTGTTGGTGTTTTTGGGCTCATATGTGCATCCTTCTTTCTTCGAACATGTCAAACTGAATTATTTCAAAAGAGTTCCATCATCATGACTGCTACTTGTTGTGTGAAATCTCCACGGCTTTTAAAATGGGTCAAATTTACAAGAGAATTCTTTTGCAGCAGCAACATTAATGTCAAGAACTGGTGTTCATGAATATTTATATAACCATCACATATACATTTTTAATATAGTGCCAGTCTGATTATTTTTTGGTCTTTTGGTTTTGTATTCTATTTTCTTTGTTCATGTTTATGAATATTTACTTTTGTACCTATTGTATTTACTTTTTATTTAAATACAAAGTTAAAAAACGTGTGTAAATGTGAAGTGGATATATGTACTGGGAGTACAATACATAACAAAAACAAAAGTGTCTGAATGCTTGTTTCCTCTCACTATATGAGGACAATTGTATTTACTGTATTTTTAAGAGAACTTTTGTATTTTTATCACATATATGTACAAACCTAGAGTGGATCAATAAGTGGATTATAAAATAAATAAGTGTTTGTAAATGCCAGTCCTAAATGACACATAAAGACAGTGGGAGCACATTCATTAGGAAGGTGTGTAAACCACATAGGGAAGGGATGGTATATTAGCACAATCTACTCATGGACAACATTTTAGAACGTTTTCAAACCACAAATCTTATACCAAATCTTACGGGATTACTGTCCAGGATATACCAGCTTTGGGTACAGATTTATGGGGCCATTACACTTACGAGGAAAAAACTAGCAGCTTATAACACATAACAACAGAGTGAGTAAGACAGGTACTAAATAAAATAATGTTCTTTTTCATAAAATAGAGCCAATACAGCATTTAAAGTAGCTCAGTTTAACTCCCTGGTGGAAATTATTATGTGCAAATGCATTGGACTGCTTCAGATATATACTTACATCTATCCACTCTGTTGATATGTTACAATGTCTATACTATCAAGTGGCTAACAGCCAGGCAGCGCAAGCAAGCCAGCACTTCCAAGTGACAGCTTCTCTGCCTCAAACACTGGTTCAGGTACAGGGGCTGCAGTTTCATTCACACACAAACAACATTTGGTCTGGTGAGTCAAAACTGCTCTTGGATCAGTCTCTGGGACATGGCGTGTGTGGTGGTACAGCACCGAAAAAGGGACTGGGGTGCTGAAAGCCATGCGCAGGGAGGAGACAGGGGGATGGTGGGGGATTGGATGGCAGAGGTGAGTGTGAGGTCTTCATGGCTACTCACGCTTGAGGACTGTCCCTCCAGAGCGCTTAACAATCCCTGTGTCCAGCCGAGGAGGGGGAAACAATACACAACATCACTTCACATCAGTCCAAAGTCACAGAATGGGTTATATCTGTGATGATCTTACTGACTGCATCACTCTCAATGCAGTTGGACTCATGGAAGGTTGCCAACTGGCAGCTAATCAAGCACCAACCAAGCACCTTGCATTTTTGGGATGCCAAACCATACAAAAATGAACCTGTTGGTTTTCATTTCCATCCCAACCCCTGCTGGCACATAAATCTTTAATACATGAAGTGTAACCAATACACTATGCAGGAGAGGTGCACGCACCTGTGTAGCCCTGTTTACAGTTGCAGACCACCTGTCTGCTGTGGTTGTCTTGGTAACAGGAGGCAGCAAAGTGACGTCCACTGTTGGGCCCATCTGGACAAGGGCAAGGCCGACACTGGTTTCCTGAACCCAGCACTGGATTTCCATAGAATCCATTGGCACACCTGCATTAAAAATGTACGTATTACATATAAGAATAAAGAGCTGTTTATCTCATCACATACGATTATCTATCACTTTATACTGTAAGACCTTCTAATCTTAAGCCTTAGAAGTCACAGTTATTGCTGGTGATTATAAAACTTTTTGAAATGTTAGATTCATTTTTTCTCCTGCCGAAGAACCTGTTAATACAGATTGTAAATCAAATGTAAATCTAATTTATTAATTAACTATATGATTAACATTTGCATAGCATAACAAAACAATAATGACTTTAAACTTCTAACAGACTTTTCCTGCTACCTGTCACTCAAATCATCTGTATTTTTGTGCTTCCTAGTCCATCATATCCTCAACAAGGACAGAAAGCAAATCTAAAAGCCCTATAGTTATCCTGTGTGGTCTGCTTCTTGCCAGATTCCTTACTTTTCACATTTGTCCCCTGCTGTGTTGCTCCTGCAGTTGATGCAGACACCGGTCCTCTGGTGGCACTCTTCTGCATGCCCGTTACAGTGGCACGGTCTGCAGTTGGGGAAGCCCCAGTGTCCAGCCTGGCAGCCGTCACAGCGCTGACCGAACGCCCCTGGCAGACATGGACACTGTCCCGTGTACACATCACAGAAGCGACCACGAGAGCCTTCCTGACTACACTCACACGCTACACAAAGGGACAGAGAGCATTAAGCATATGTTCATTTTTAGATGTCAGTGTTAAAGGAATAATTTATTAATTATAAATTATAATAATTTACAGTCTTTCATCTTAATCTCTATCTACAGCATCTGTAGCACACAAATGAAAATAATTCAAACAAAAACATACAATAGATGCCACTGTGAAACTCGATTATTACAAATTATCCTCGAGAATCAACAGTACAATACAAACATGGCAGATAAGGATCAGGTTGAAAAACGCCAGGGTATTCTTTTAAATTTTGGTTTTGTTAGAAGTTAATCTTACGTTTGCATCCTGAAGGTCCGAAGCCATAGGTTCCTGGAGCACATTTATCACAACGCCTTCCAATCACATTCGGCTTACAGCGGCACTGACCTCCACGCACATCACATTCAGAGCTGACTGAACCCTGTGGATCGCACTGGCAAGCTGAGTGGAGGGGGAACAAACAAATGCATACGTATATGTATATATACATAAATAAACAACAATACAGATATATTGTTATAGCACTGTACTCCCAATAACAGTCACTCCTTTCTGCTCTTTCAAACACTAACCCCCCCTTCCTGTCACTGAGGTAACTCACGCAGGGCTCCGTCGTTAATGATGGCTGACATGCTGGTGATGAGTTTGGCACACACATCACTCAAGGCTGGACGGGACACACTCTTGGCACTCTCATGGCAGCGGTAACGCTCATAACTCTGCTTCCGGGAGAGAGAGGCAGGATCACCCGCTACAAACATCTCCAGAGAGGTGTATCGAGGGAGCAAGGCGATCTGGAAGAAGAGCAGTTAGCGTTAGAGGACAGGAGTCTATGAACTTAAGTGGATGTTTCCTAATGATTTTACTTACAGAGTCTATTAGAATGTTTGCATTGCTGAAGCTGGGAATGCTGTTTTTGTCAGCGTAGCGGACAAACTCCAGACGGAGAGTGTACCTCACTCCTTTCTCCAAACACACAGGATGGGGAAGAACCATGAACCTGTAGCAAAGCAGAAGAACAAGTGAGTCAGAGCTCACAAACCATCAAGTTCAGAACTGAATTAGGGCAAGATCAGAGGAAAGAAGAACATCCTTATACATATTACACACTATACATATAACAACCACATTCTTATAGAGTACATAATAAGAGTGTACATTTCTGACTTCACAACAATTTGATTTGATTATGATTGTTTAGAGAACAGTTTAATTCATTATGAAAGCTCAAATTTCAACATCATTTATCTTGATTTGATTATTTTGGTGTAATTTTAAATCATTTAAATCATCAATACACTTAACACAAATAAGCCTATAGAAAGTATTTACACAGTAGTGGAAAACAGACATTAAAAACAGCACATGATGACATGTATTGTTTGCATTTTACATTTAAAAATAGTCTGAGAATTTTATTTTGGTGAAAAAACAAGTGCATACTTCATTATTTGTCTTTTTTTTAATTTATATTATAATTTCATAACAATATTATTATAATCATATATAATCAATTATAGCAATTGTGAAATTAATGCAGTTGAATCTCCACCTTTAGACTGATGCATCATGATGTATCAATGCATTCTTATACCCCTTGTATATAACATTACTGGCGGTGTGTGTGAGAGACCTGGTGTGTGTGTGTGTGTGTGTGTGTGTGTGTGTGTGTGTGTGAGTGTGTGTGTGTGAGACAGAGAGAGAGAGAGAGAGAGAGAAAGAGGCAGACCTAGATCCAGAAGGCAGAGAGACAGTCAGCAGATCATCTGCAGGGATGGTGTTTCCACATGGGCTGCTGGTGGGAATTGGACCAGGTCTCACAACCGTTATACGCACTTCCTCCCAGTCCCGAGGCATCTATCAAACACATACATGCATACAGCTTTAAACACAGTCAAAACATGTACTCAGGACTACTGATCTATGAAAAGGTAAGTGTGATTACCTGAGGCTCATAGCGAATGAGAACATCATACTCCATAGAGTAAGGGATATTAGTGATGAAGAACTCCAGAATGCCTCCTTCAGGAACGCGTGCAAACCCAGTACCGGTCCAAGAGGTGGGACGACCTGACTGGTGCTCCCTCTCTTCGACAGTACAACCCTACAAATGCACACATAAAACACATCGTCAGTTGTTCTGCTACTTTGAAGCCTACGACAATGAGAAGCTGAATATCCTGAGGCTTAAGAAAAATTCTTAAAATGATATTTCAGTAAAAAAAAAAAAAATTCTAAATTACACAATTTTTCTCCTATCTCAAATAAAGTCGATCAGCCAAGACATGTTTGGTGTCAAAATTTTGCTTCTTTAATTTTGCCCTGGAAGTAACTTACAATTAATATAAGCTTATACCTTGCATGCCTAAATAATCAAACACTTATCTCAAACGAGTTGTTAAGCAATCTCAAATAGACAAAAGTATGTTACAAAGTTAAAAAATTGATGTATCAGCCATTCTGAAGCCTTGAATTTTGTCCTTACTTTTGTCCATGCCTTGGCTGATTGTCTACATTTGAGGTAAGGGGAACACTGTGCAAATCTGATTGCATGGTGACTTTAATTCTCACTTCAAGGTTTTACACTACACTGGATAAACATCATTGTATCAATCTATGGAGGAGGAAAAAACTGCTGGTAAATAATGGTCTAACACAGGGATCAGCAACATGCAGCTCTGGAGCCATATGCCACTCTTTTACTGCCCTGTTGTGGCTCCACAGCAGAATTAGATTTTTAGGTAAAAATGAAATAACTTTGTTACGGTAAAACAAAGCTTTGCTGATCAATTCGAACAGTTTTTACAATAAATGGCCTTAAACGTTGGCGTTAATGTATAACTGGTAATTCACCGACCTTTAACCCTGAAGACTGGCGCGCAGACTGCTGGTCACTATAGTAATGCAAACAATAATCTCGCCTAGCTAGTAGCTAACTAAAAGGCAAAGAGAAAGATTTAAGATGAATATCGTTAATTTGGTGACAGATGGACTTTTGCAAGCACTCCAACTGATTTTCTTATATGTTTAATCTGCAACAAGAAACTAACACTAAAAAGTTGTGAAGCTGAAGTCAGCTTCTTGTTCAAATTGTCCCGTTCCACCTTAAAGAATGGAACAGTTACATTCTGGTGCCTCAGGGATCATTAAAGGTGGAACAGAAAAATTCGAACAAGAAGCCGGCAAATATGAAGCTGACTTCCACTACGTAAAAATTTGAACGTTGGGAAACATTTTACAAGAAATTATTCCACTTTTGGAAAAGTTTCCTGCTAGATATGTAAGAAAGGCTTAAAGCAGAGCAAACTAAGTCTGCATTTTTGTTTATATTTTTTAGCCTTTACTAGCACATTAGCACATACTGAGACATATTTACAACCAAGATGGTAAAATGGACATAAAATGTTGTGGCTCCTCCCTAGGTGGTTTGATTTTTACTGAAAGGACAACAAAATGGCTCTTCTTAACATTGGCTCTTCTACATATATATATATATATATATATAGAGAGAGAGAGAGAGAGAGAGAGAGAGAGAGATGTCTGATTGTTTTCAGGTCTGCTCTTACCTGAGACAATTTTGCTAGTTCTGCCTCATAGAGATAGTGGTCCAGGGCCATGAAGAAATACCCAGACTCCACCTGGTTACACTGGCGGCCCACCAAGTGACTGCGGCAGCGACACTGGCCCGATTCCATAGAGCACCTGGCAACAAGGTAAAATACATCAACTCCTAAATATCATCTCCTAAAGTATGTATATGTTCACAAAGTGAGAAGCAAACAATTCTAGTGCATCAATAATACTGGAATTAAGATGAAATAGTCCCCAGAATACAGCACTTACTGGTTATCTACAGCGCCTCCTATGTCACAGTCACATCTTCTGCAGCCACTGCCATCATGGCTTAAGGCCCAGTGCTCTGGCTAAGGGAAAGAGTGTAGCAAATCATTTACTGTATTCATTATTGACTAAGACACCAACTATAGCTTTGAAAACACTAAATCAGATGGCATATAATCTACACCAGAAAATCAGATTATCACTATCCTCTTAAAAAGGGACTGTCACCAGACTAAGGTGAAATGCATCCACTGCTTGTCTAATTTCAGGATGTGGTTCTTTCCTTGCTGTCCATTTTAAGCACCATGTAAACCAACACCTTGCAGGCAGAGGGTCTTATATCCCTGGGCTAAATGTAGGTGAAAGGCCCCCACTGTGCTATTCAGATTCATGGGTACTGTTACTAGTCAAGTAATAGTGTGAATATTAGCCAACAGTGTGATTATGTGTGTAATCATATAATAATAATAATAAAAATAATAATGCAGCCTATCCTCATAGTGTTATCCATTATGATGCACCCACTGCAACACAGCAAAATGAGTTCAAAGCTGTTTTAAAACAACCTGGTGTCAGCAGAACTCTCAAATAGTCAAGAATGGCGTACTAGAAGTGTAGGCTTACAAATGTGTGTGTAATCTCCACTGTACTTACCAGACACTGGTTGCAACTCCGGCCTCTGACCAGGCGCTTGCAGAAACAGTCCCCTTGGACGGGGTCACACTGGGGACTGCCGGAAACTGTTCCCCTGGGGTCACACTTACATGCTAATGGAAGGCAAAGCAGGGAAGATAAAGCTGGGGTGAAGAGATAAATTAACCATAACAAATTTGATCAGGTAAACACTGCGGTTTGTTCTGCTGGACAGGGATTAGGCCCGGTGCTGGACTACACAGCTTTTTATACAAAAATTCTTAAAAATATTATCAATGACTGGGCCTAATTTTGGGTTGACCAGTAGCCTAGTGGTAGGTAAGGTGAGCCTACAACTGTAAGGTCATGGGCCCCAAGACTGACTAGCTATACCTGGTTGTGCCCTTGACCAATACACTTAACTCCAACTGCCCCAGGTGGTGCCACTCTGCTAGTGATGATGTGTGCTCTTGGACTGAGCCCTCAATGACAGGTTCTAAAAGGGCTCTTACAAAAAACAAAACTTATGGAACTCTTTAGAAAACCTCTGTCGATACTCACGCTGGCAGCCAAGTGGGTCATTTGCATTCAGCCCAAAGAAGCCAGACTTGCACTTGTCACAGCGAGGGCCTTCCACGTTTGCCTTACAACGGCACTGTCCCGCAATCATGCCCAGAGAGGGGTCATCATGCCCGTCACACATACCATTGTTTACAGAGCCGTCTGGGTCACAGTCACAAGCTGGATTGACAGAAGAGAGACAATAAATAAAAAACGAGTACCAGTCACTTTTATCATCTATGAACATTTTGGCTCCATTCCCAAGCGATTTTGTGAATAGATCTGACTTTTCTGTCTTGATGGCTCACCTTCGTGTTTGTATGTGACTCATATCTGTCATCAACTTAGCTGCTAATGCTACACTGTCCACACTATGCTGATGTGCATGTGCAGCAAAGTGTTATGTAAAAAGAAAAAAAAAGAAAAAACACATGAAATCCAATCTGACAGATCAAATTACTGTCACATGGCCATGTATCGAACATGTACTTAATTTAGGACCAGATATGAAAGTGGCTCAGATCTGAATTTCTGCCACTTCATGAAATGTACATGTAATGTAATGCAATGTGAATGTAGCCATTATCTTTCTAAGCTTCCCCTGAGTCACTCTCACCTATGCAGACCCGGGGGTCTCTGATGTCCCTGGCTGGGTCCTGATAGTAGAAGGGTTTGCAGGTTTCACAGTTGCGGCCCATTGTATTGTGGAGACAGTCGTCACACACGCCTCCACTAATGTTGCCCGTGGACAGATACACCGCCATGTCAAAGTGACACTTGTTGGAGTGACCATTACAGTTGCATTCTGAGAGAAAGGTTTCAGAAAACAGTTCATTTTAACATGTGATTTTGTTAATACATTGTATGTGTAATGGTAGAGTTTTCATAAGAAGCTTTATTTACTCTTGCAGGCGTTGGTGTTGCGGCCCTCAGCTGGTCTCCAGGGCTGGTCATTATGGAAATCATCACACAGTTCACAATTTAGCCCTTTTGTGTTGTGCTTGCACACACACCTCCCATGCACCTGGTTACATAAAAGGAGAATCGAAATCAGTTTTATTACTTAACTTTTTACATATATCAGATTTATTCCGGCAAGTGCTCTCACAAAGACAGAAAATATAATAAACATTAAATGTAATTAAACAAAAAATGTACATACAAACAGAAAACAGAGAAAACAGAAATGTGGAATACTGTATAATTTCAAGTGTAAAAAAAGACAGCAAGAGAAAGTTTTGTGTGTGTATATGTGCAATTAGGTTATTAATCAGTGTGTGAAGCTATTTCTACAGATATCACCTGCAAATTATGAATCCATTCTCCTGTTATTTTTCTGCACATTGTATTGTTATTCTCCCTGTCTAGATAAACAGCTTACCATGCCCTCGATGTCATCTCTTATTCCATCGATGGGCGCGCACTCAGAGGCATGGCCATAGCAGAAGCAGTTGCCCCTGACGACCAGCTCATACATGGCATAGTAGTACTTCTCTTTGATCTCCAGTCTTGAGTCAAGCAGGTTATCGCCCAGAGTGTGGAGCCTGGTGAAGTTCACACGCAAGTTGGTGATTTTGAGCTGATCTGTGAAGGAGACAAAAAGAAGGAAAATGGATCAGAAATATAGTTGCTTGGAAATAAACATGATTGATTTCTTTATGTGATGCTGAATGACTACATCAGTGTAGTAGCCTCTTTCTTCAGGCCTCCTTGTGGTCATTCCGCTGGCAGAATGGAAATTGACTTGGGCATTTTTGATTAATATAACCTAATAAAACATTTTTTCCCACAACTGTGTTTTCAGATTCATCAGGACACTGTTGGCTCTCTGTGTGAAATGTTGTGCCTCTATGGGCCTGTCTACACCTTGCATTAACATGTGCTTTTTGTTGTAGGATCGTATCTGGATAACCTTTGGCTGGACTCCATTTGCACTTTTCATTAAAATATTTTAATTTTAATCACATTTTGACCAGATGTGATCCTGTACTTTTCAGTGTCCTTCATCTTTCATTCTGTTGTTTATTCTCTCACCTGCTAGTCAGTGCTTAGCAGACTCATATCTGTACGTAATTCTATACGAATAACAAAAATACATTCCATTTACACTTGTGTTAAATGTGGTGAAGATCTGTCCCTGACCACCTCAGAATGTGGTTTGAGTGACCCAACTGTGATCAGATCATGATTCCTCCTGAGGGTGTTTACACCTGGCTTTTCACACGGTTAAGTGAAATCTGAATGTGATCCGATCACTAAAAACACATATTTAATGCAAGGTGCAAACAGGCTCTTTGTTGAGCTGCTAGCAAACAATGAGGGGAGAAAGGGGAGGGGTGAGAATCCCTTTCTGTGAAAACAGTTCACACCTCTCCACAAAGACAGCCATGCAGATATAAAAATGGACAGCATAACTGCAGCTTTCTTGATGACCGAAAATCATATACTAATCGTGTTTCATTAACCTCTGAGACTAGTGCTGGCCAGAAGTCTTGTGCAGCCGTGCATGAGAGCACGCAGTTGCAGAGCGTCCAGCTCACACACCATCATAATCCATCATAATTATAAAGAGACGGAGGGGTGAGGACATCTGAAAGATTCTGGCAAACGTGTGTTTGCGTAAGAGAGGCTGCAGAGGGAGATGAAAAAGTGGCAGAAGTTGAACTGCAAGTTTTTTTCTGCCGCTACTGTGCACAGCCTGTTCTTTCCATTCACGCTCCAGCTGTTCAGGGCTAAAGCGTGAGAGATGCATCACTGTCTGCACTCCCACTCCCTCCTAAATATACGGACATATGCAGTGCTGTGGGAGTACTACAGCCTCCAAGCTGTAGAGCATATGCTGTTAATCATTAACTACATCCTACATCCCACAACTCCGAGAACCTAATGAAGGAGTCTTCACAAAATCAGTAACATCAAGCACTTATCATGCACCATATGGCACATTAACGCAATATGTAGACAGCTGAAATGAGCAGGAAGAGGATGGAGAGTCCGGATCAGGTTAAGTAGCCGTTAGGCAGCTTGAAATCATGTATCAAGCAAGAAAGGGAAAACATTTCACTTTCAAAACTACATCTGCTCTCCTCACTTCCCAATTGCTTACACAGTGATGTTAAAAGAAGATGTGATGCAACACAGTGGTAAACATGCCCCCGTCCCAACTTTTCTGAAACTATATTTTTCAAAAACAATAAAATTTCTCAGTTTTAACATTTGATATGTTGTCTTTGTACTATTTTCAATTAAATATAGCGTTTAAAGTATTTGTACATCATTGCATTTTGTTTTTGTTTAAATTTTGCACAGTGTCCTAAATGGGGTTGTACTGCAGAGATGGTGGTGAATAATGAGGAAACTTATGTAAATGATATTTTTTATAATGTTAGGACAGCCAGCTAAAGCTTTGATAAATGGAAAGTGAAACTAGGGTGCGATGGCCCCCATTAAACAGCATGGAGCACCGTCACAACAATAAATAAGCTAACTAACTTAAAATATTAACGCTATTTTGAATACATGAGTGCGTTTCAGCTGTGCATGTATCTTTAGTTGCTTGGAAACATACATGACTGATTGTGGACCTCGATCAAACAGTTTAGGTTTTCCTAACAATGAGATGCAATAAGATGCTATAATTTAAGATATGCTTCCTAAATTACGATAAAATTTGTTTCTATAAAACAAATTTGTGAAAAATCTTATCTTGACCTTGTCAGATCTTAACTCCCAAGAACTTTTGAAAGTTTCTGTAATATGGCCCATGGACAGTAACATTATTAACTTAAACTAATTACTTAAAATAAGCAAAATGTCTGGACATAGGTTGCATAATCGTTTAATATTCTGAAACAATCACATAATGTGAAATTTAAGATGTTCATGCAGTGTATATTTAAGATATTTTAGGATGCAAAGACAAATTTTTTGCAGTGTAGATACAGCCAGCCTGACAGACAGATGGAAGAGAAAGAGAGATTAAGGTAAAACTGTGGACTGAGAGAGAAATACAGAGAGAGGAAAGCTGGTTTGGTCAGAGCGGCTGCTCATGGTTAGCTGAGCGTATCGTTCTGTTCACACTGCGGATGCCTGATCTCTGGACCTTGACCGATGAAAGACTCCCTCTGCTTGCTAACGCGAGTTACACTGTGTCAAAGCCTCTCAGAGTTATTAGACTACTCAGTAAGGCCATCCTCTCCTGCCCCAACTCATTTGTCGCACTGCTGGATTCCATATTTCAAACAAATAACAATATTTTCATACGGGGGAGAGAACTCCAACTCAGCAGCAATGAGCTTTATTTAAGAGTCTTTCTTGGTATGAAGAGTAGGTTTTGCCAAAATAATGATTTTGCTGTTTTCTTTTTTTAAACTGTTGTTAAAAGTGCATACATTTTTTTTTTGATCCAAAAATTTGAGTGCTGATGAATGTTTACATCACAACAAGTGGATACAATCTATTGTTTATTCCATATAAATGTAACGAATACAGTTATGATACTAATACCCTGCATTTTAAGGTGTCTGGCCTTTGTTTATGTTCTCTTATCTTACTAGTTTCCTACTCACATTTAAAACACATTTAAAGACAGGACATTTGATTTATCTGGCCAGTCTCTATTTTGCATGAACCATAGTACTGTCCAAACATCACTCCGGTTGTTTTTCGATTCAGCAGGGACTCCGTGTTGAACCAGAGAACACGCCTTCACCATAACATGGAAGATCTACACATGTTGTTCCTGGCAACACATTTAAGTCACAGCAGTGAAAATGAAAAGGGGACAAATTGAGTGGGAGGGAACAGCTGCTTTTCCCATTAGCATTACTTTATTTTGTTGCTCTCTGTCTGCAGTGAACCACTGAAATGGACAGAAATGAAGCAGAACTGGTGCAGAGTGGGGCCATGAATGGATCTGTGCTCATGAGTTAACAGCAGAGGGAATCAGTTGGAAGAGGAAAATTAGATAGTAAAGACAGCAGTGCTTTAAAAGTGGAGAGCAGGAAATTCCTTCCTCTTTCCATTGTTTTGTGTTGTGTCACTTTGGCAAATACAGATCAGATCTTAAAATAGCCAGCAGTCAGGGGCTATAAAAACCCTTTATTGTTGATGGACTACCTTTTCAATATTTAGTTTAATTTATTTAATCATTCTCTAAAAATAAAGAAAAGAGTTCTTTCTTTTACCTACAAAATGAAAAGTACACTAAATATAATATTATACAGGTACACTAAATAAAATAACAACAACAGAAAATGTTGGCTGCACAGTGCGGGTCATTTATGAGTATTAGTCAGAATAAGGCCATTGGCATTTATAAATATTGAAGGTGGACTCACTTTGAATACGGGGGCTGTAGGGGTCTTCAATTCGGATGGCAGGGTCTAGAACTCGAAAGATTACCTGGACGGAGAAGAAGGGTAGTAGAGGGTTTTTAAATTGTACAGCTCAAATAAGCTTTCCTGTGCCACCAGTACACTGCCTGAATGCATTTTCAGTGTGCACAAAAAACAAGAAGAAAATACTGACAAAATGTTCTAAACATACAAAAAATTAAAGCTTGTTAAACGTGATGGCAAGACCCAATATGAGTTTTGTGCATCTTAAAGACATAGATGGTGTGTTTTTGGAGAGTTAAATCTTGATTGGTAACTGCGATAGATGGAAAATATTAGCAGCTGATGATACTATATTCACTCACTCAAGCCTAGTTAGAGTCAACGGCATCGGGCAGATGTGGATCTTAATTAAATGAATTCAATTTGAGAATGAAGTAGAATTACATAATCTAGTAAGTCCAAAAACTGTGGCCCAATTACTGAATTGCTCCTATTTTCTCACCTCTCCTTCCGTTGACGGCTCGATGTCAGAATAACGTGATTCACAGATGACATCATCAACCTTGCGGAGTGGACCTTGAGGAATCCCAGGGAAGACCGAGGCGCAGTCATAGGCAAAGTAGCGATAAACTTGCCAGGTGCGTCCAAAATCCGCTGAACGCTCAATCAACAGGGCTGCAGGACGGAATGTCTGAACACAGAGGAAAAAAAATGCCAAATATGACAAATCTATTGACCTGTAAAGGAAAGAAAAATCAATGCATTTCATCGTACCTTAAAGGTCATGATGAGGTGAGTGAAGTGAAACTCTGCTTCAAGGTCCAACTGAATGTAAACATCAGACTTTCCTGAGGAAAAAAGCACACACTCCGCTTTTAATGGGCCTTCAATTCTGAGATCAACTGTCCACCTATCAGAACACAGAACTGTACTGTGTCAGAAAGTATTAAATATACACTGAAATTTTTCATAAAACACAACATGGATTATCATATGTTAGAAAAAACGTGACTATAAATTTAATGTTGCTGTACTGGTGTATAAACATATTCACATTGTGTTATATATAACATATAATGAGAGAATTTCATTTTTATTTCAATTTTACATTTTTTTGCATTGTATTACGATATAGACATAAAATGCACTGTTCAATAAAGTTGTTGTATATCGCAATGACATGAGAATCGCTAAATTATTATTAGTGTGCCTCTGACTGAATGTGACTTCACATCAATGATACTTTCCTTGTTAATGTCCTTGTTATTATTAATATAGACCTGCAAAAATGTATAAATATTTATTTAATTCCTTGAAAAGCTTTATATGCATGATGATGCAGATTTGTTGTGACTAAGGATGCAACGATACCAATACTGATATCGGGAATCAGCCTGATACCGTGCTCATTTTGTCATACCTGACCTTATAAAAATGCACTTGTACTAATATCTAACATCAGCTACTACCACGCAACGTAAGCCTACCGTACACTGCTGTGCTAATAAACCAAGCAGTTTTTACAGTGTGAGTACAGGCTTTGTCATAGGCTTTGTCCATACACGATGGTCTAATCAAACATACTGTGTGAGCCACCAAAAAGATTTCTAAAATCGCAAAGTGTTTGCCTGACTTTACAGGACATTCAACTACAGCTAAACCAGCCAATCAAAACAACATGTAGACCTGGAAACATAAGCTTCTCGGGTTAATTAGCCTGGGATGTGATTCTTGCTGTCACTGCGCTACAAACTGTTGTTGAAAGAGACAGATGAGGATCAAAACTATGAGATGTACTATATCTACAGCTGCAATTTTCTGACATGGAACAAAACCCACTCCTCTCCACTGTAGTGCTACTCGATCAAAGGTAACTAATGCAGCATAGCTAGCTAATGCACTTCGTTTATATTTATAAAGATTTAAATGATATGACTAAGGTACATTGCACTGATTGCACTTGTTGTTGTTAGTAACCTACTTAGAATTAAGCACTCGTTAGTGATTCTAACAAGTGCTTAATTCTAAGTAGGTAACATGGTAAGGTATCGTGATCAGTATCAGTAAGTACTATAAAAATATGTACTTGTACTCCTAATCGTTCTGAAATGGTATTAATGCATCCCTGTTACAAAAGTAATCATTTCTGCTTCATACATTTTACCACACAACTTTAAGAATGAGCATAGTCATCATGTTTTAAGCATTTTCACAGGCTAGTAGTCCAGGATGGAGCAGTCTTTCTGTACAGGTGTTTTGTAATTCACTGTTTAGTTAAATGGTTAAGTTCTAATTTAATTTATTGAGTTGTCACACTGACAACTCACATAATACAGATGCTTCATTCATCACACTTGAACAGAATAACCTAAGTGTAGTACTACCATAAATAAGCTCGCAGTTAAGCTGCTGAAAAGCTTACACAGAGCAAATTATAACCCATCCCTCTTTCTTCTACTTAGCTGCTTTTTTCTTCTCAGTACAAATGTTATGTGGTCATTAGCTCTGCAATATGAAGCTCTGGGCTTTCCACTTTGTATAATGCTAAGCAGTTCCTAAAGAGGAGGAGCATAAATTAAAAAAACATATCTGATGTATTCAAAAGGTAATGTTCTTGACTAGAACGAACACTGTTCAAAGACTCAAGAGATATAAACACTGGCACAGGTTACATTAGATCCTTTGATGTGTCATCATAAATCAAAGAAGATGTTGTATGAAGTGTAGTAATTATAAAGTGCTGCTACCATGTAAAACCTCTCATGTCTCTTCTCTACAATAACACTTCAGTCCATAAACATAATGAAACTGTACTGAGTGAGAGGCAGCCAGAAGCCAACAACGGCTACAGTGAGCTACCTGTCCTATTCTCTATTCCAATAAGACAGCTGTAACCTAATCCCTTACAGCAGCAAAACCTGCCTGCCGGCTGAACTGCACTTAACCTGCCTCTTACAACCAGCAGCTAAACAGGAAGAAAAGTGAAAGAGAGGAAAAGAGAGGTGGGGTCTATCCTGGACTGAAAAGAATGAGCTGGAGCCAGGGTGTACATAAAGGAAAAAGACGGAACTGATTCAAAGATTCTATTTTTCTTTTTTCTTTTTTTAAAACCCAACGTGTCAAGGCCACACCCCCCCCTTCCCTTAATCCCTTTTTCCTTTTCTATTTTACTTTTAACATAATGATTAGGGCCTAGAAGTGTTGCTGACACTCATAAATCTGTGGATGTTTAATATCGGCCCAGCATGTACTGAAGGTTAAATCCTATAAATGTTTTAAGTTTACAAGTAACTTTTAAAACCTCAAATTTGTTTCTTTTTTTTTAATGTGTACTCATTTAGAGTTTACTCACTTTTTCTTAGAGTATATTCCCTAATTCACCTTTTGAGATTTCTTTAAAAAATCAAAGTTGATGTATCCTGTTTTTTAATAATTTCGGCTGCAGACAGCTCAGTTTCATTCAGATGTTCCCTCTCCTCCTCCCCTCCATTACCTCCCAGTTCGATTCACAAATCTGAAAACCAACCTATCTAATGCAGCGTTTTACACCATGCAAGCCTGTTTTCTGCTTGTAGAGAGCATCATGCCACTAGAAGCATGCACTAAATACTGCCACAATGGTTTCAGTCATGAAAACACTTCATATTTTGGTCAAACTCGTTCAGTTTGAAACTAAACGCCTGCAGAGAATAAAAATGTCAGAAAGCCAGAATGTGTAACATAATTTAGTTGTAGTAGAACAGAAACACTTTCTCCTGATTTTTAATAAGAATTATCAGACGATTCCCAACCATATCCAGGATTGACAGTGGCAAATCCATATTAACAAAAACATTATGACTTGATATCATTTTAATATTAAGAACACTTTTCCAGAAAATGCTAGAATTTGCAGTTTAAGAAGCAAAACAGCAGTGCAGCTCAAATGAAATAATAAACATATATAGTGATTAAAGGTATGAAATGTTTGGTTTATGTATGTAGTTGTCTAATGTTTCACAGTTATACAACTAGGCACCCACTGAGGTTTAGGGTTTACACTCTTTTTTATGTATGTATATCATTGCTGTTCTGGTTGCTACCTCAGTGACTGCTATGCTCATATATGCTAGGCTATCTGCTAATATGTCATAGTATGTTACATCCTCCACATGCTCTCAGTACTGTGTACTGCCTGTGTTCTGTTTTGTATTTATTGTAAGTCTTTCGGATTTATTTACTGTACTGTATTGTCTGCACTGTGTATATGGTATTGTCTTGCACTTGTTCCTCTGTTGGTCCTGGAGGAATGTTGTTTGTTTCACTGTGTACTTGTCTATGGCTGAAATGACGATAAAGCCTGACTTGACTTTACCACTACATCCTTGATACTGACCAATCAGTCAGGCCCTAACAATTATACTCAGACTTTACTGAAAAACTCTACTGCATGGAAAGAGCCATTAAGATTTCCCAACGCAGGAGAAGTCGAATACACACAAAAGACTGCCCTCTTGTTCAAGACTGCCAAGCACCTGTCTCTTTTTCTGTCAAAAGGCAAGTGGTACTAGTTGTTCAAGAGACAACCAAACTAAGCTAATTAACATCCACCCCGTCCAAACGTCCTCCTACAATTCATTACTTCCAGGAGCCAACAGGAATGTCCTCTCACTTTGACGAGTGCTGAAATGCTGGACAAGTGACCTACTGTTCACTACATGACATAGTCATCGCAAAAGGACTGACGCCATGGTGACCAAGAGCAAAAATAGCCGCCATTTCCTGTCAACTCCCAACTTTCCATGTTCTTCACAGCTTCCAGTAACATAGCACAGCTGATAAAGACACAAAAGCTTTCAGTCCCATATATATATCTCCAAAACAGGACTCTGCTGGCAAGTATGCTATGCAGTTACTGTATCAGACAAAGTTCTAAAATGAAAGATGTATTTGTGCATCAGATCTCACTTCACTTTAATACACTGTAACATCCACCATTTAATTATTCAAGTCTTTTAAAGGAGTTTAGAACTGCGAGCCTGAACACCAAACACCAAACTTGAAGTGTCCCAAAGTTATCAGACAAAACAAACCACTAATTCATTTGGCCTGTACTGCACTCTCAGACAAACAGTAGACAGTACTGCACTAGGTGGAAATTATTCCGTTACTACAGGGATACCAGAAGAAACTGGTTGAACTGTTCTCAGGTTACAGAAGTATGTAATAAAACTTTGGGCCTGCCGGCAGGCCCTGACCTTTTAAGGGGTTAAATGATCCAAATTAATGTCAGGCCAACACTATAAATCCTATCCGATGTTCAAAATGTGAGTGAACAAACAGATTGGCTGATTTCACCTATTGTTTCGTCGTTGGTTGTTCTAACAGAAATTGTTGTGAACAAATAGAGAAGCGTGATAAAGTTAAATTACACCACTGTTACCCTGGAACTAACAAAACAGTTCCCATAGGGATGCTAATGGAAATTAGCATTATCATAGTGGTGGTATTTAAATCAAGTTCTACCTTTCCATTTAGCTCCACTCTCTGTTCAGCTCAGCTCTTATTGCTTATTGGTCTTTCATGAAACACATCACTGGGCTTCATATAAAACATTCAGACTCCCGTCCGCACAAAACATGTTTACAATTCGAAATCAGGGCAGAGGGAGTAGATCGGAGGAGCTAATATTGGATTATACATGCCGCACACCACAAGAAAATCCGGGAAGATAATTGTTTAAGACCAGCTAGAAATCATGACACCTTTTATGATTGTTGGGAGGGGCTCAAAATCAGCCTGATTGCTTTGTGGTGTGGGAAGAACAGCTGACTCTATCAACAAAACTGATTTATGCATTTTTAATGTCATACTAATTATGTAATGACACTGAATGTTATGATTTACACAAGATTAACTTTATTTTCTCTTTCTTTTATTCTTTCTGTGTGTTGGTCTCTGTCAGTCTGTAGTGTTTGGGTGCTCTCCCTATCTCTGTTGCTGTGCCAGCAGGAGGCCTACTCTGTAATTATCTCCATCAACAGTACATCTGGGGAGTGTGTGCCAGGGAGATGTGCTAGACGTGGAGGTCTGGCCCTTGAAATCGTGCAAATCAACTATCACCCCTTTCTGCATCCTTCTTTACTGCTTCTACACTCACCTTTCCACCATCTCTATTAGTGACCATATTCTACTGTTTTTCCTTTATTCTTATTGTTCTTATCTTATTTATCTTTTTTATCTTATTTGTTTTTTTTTTTTAACCTAATTATCATGGGAGTCAGTTTCAATATGAATGAACACTAACTGTGCACTCTTTTCATGGTATTAATAGACTACCCTGAACATTAGCGTTCTAATACTACAGCACAAGTGTTTTCATTGAGGGCACTCAGACAGATGGGTTTAGTAGGCTTGGCAATCCCACTGGCAGCTGATAAAGTTCTTTACAGCCCTGCTAATAAGATTGGACAACTACTTTAAATCACTTCATCACTTTATTCTTCTGCCTTTAGGAAAATATCTCTAAAGCTATACTGAATGCTAGGGCTGGGCAATTAATCGAAAAGTAATCGAAACCAACATTCAGAACTTCTAACCAACGTAATCTTGCCCATGTCGGTTATCTAGATTATTTTAAAATTCTGCTAATCCTTTCCCCACTCTGTGTGTTCATGTAGTGTCCCCTTAAAAACTTACTACTGCGTGTGTAGTCATGCGACTCCACCACGTCCAGTCTGCGACATGGAAGCTAAGGCTGTGTTTACACTGCAGATAAAAGTGTCCCAAATCTGATTTTCTTACCAAATCCGATTTTTTGTTTGGCTCTTCACAATATCTTTTAAATGTGACCTGTATGCGACATTAGTCTGAACAGATGCCTCCCAAACTGACCCACATGCGGAAAAGAACAGAGGTAAACAATCCAGAGGTGAACAGTCATGACTATGAACGAACACCAGTCGCTCGCAGATGGTTCAGCTTCATCTTCGCCAGCATCACAGGAACCATCATGAAGCTTTACTGACTGACAGCTGGGTTCATCACCCAGAATGTGTTCGAGCTCACCGTAAAAAGGGCGGGGTCACTTCTTTGGTTCGTCCTCTTTCTTTACATTTTGCTTTCAGACTTTTAACTGTTCTTTGACCCTGCAGCCTCGTTCTCCTACGGCCACGTTTGGCCATTTCTTTCAAAATCTCTTCAAACACAGAGGTGTTTCGGCTAAGTCTCTTCTAATTTTTGTACAGAAATATCACCCCAAATGTTTATTAAGTCTCAGCAGTGCGAAATTATGACGAATGTAGAGTTGGATTCACGTAAAAGCCGCGGGAATTCTGATCTGGCTTTTGAGACGATTTACATTAAGATATGCAAAGCATATTTACAGTACAAACCCTGTCAGTGATCTACGAGGACAAAAAACAAACAAACAAAAACAAAACAAAATAATTGTTCATTATTTGTAATCAAGGTAAAATATTCAATTAATCGTGATATTGATTTGAGGTCATATAGCCCAGCACTACTTAATGCCCTGTACTGTATGAACTCTGAAACATCAGAGAGCGTAAATTTAAAGCTAAACGAGCTGATAGTCTTACCATTCTCAGACTGCCACCAGCACTTCTTGCGGTCTGGTCTGAAGGTGGTGATGACGTTCTCGATGCGGTGACTGATGGTGTTGTACTTAGGATCGTATGCTCGCCGTGAGTCGCACTGGAAACATTTCTTCTCTTCCTACAGGTCAAATGTTGGCAATCTTTTGGGTCAAAAGTGAACCAGTTCCCCATATTTCCAAAATGAGAAGGATCTAAAAGCCACTAAATGTTTCAGTAATCAACATTGGCCGGAACATTTGAAGATCAAACAGGCACTGGCTGAGGCTTTACCTGTAGGTGACTGACAATGCAGTAGGGTTCTCTCCTAGTGAGACCACAGGTGGATGAAGCTTTCAGGTTCTTCTCTCGACCCACCAGGAGGTCACCGGTTGCTGGGTAACAACTTCCATGGGTGCATCCATGGGCAAGGTCAGGCTCCTGAGCAATGGTGGTAGCCAGGGCTGAATGAGAAAACAGGAGGGTGTGAAGGAGAGAGTCCCTTATACACAGACTTCAATCACTTAATAATCCTAAGACTTATTATTATTTACCAAGTAACTAATAATTAAGTAACGTAGACAAAGAAGTAGGGAATTAAAGAGTGAACCCAGTAATGAGCCCTTAGACTTTAAGGGCTTAAAGACTACTGTTGTGAATGAAGTGCACTAGCCCATTTGGGTTATTGAGGATTTTCTGCACAAGTGACCTTCGGCGAGCCCCAGTCACAGCAAAGTCTGGATACAAATATAGTCCTTCCTGAGAAAGTAAGAGAAAATATATGCCTGCATGTGTACATTTGAGCCCAAGTGTCCTTCATGTTGGCCAAATAAACTTTTACAACAGCTAAAAGCCATTAGAGGTCCTGAAATAAATTCCATGTGAAACATCAGAGGGTCATGGAGACCTGATGTCTGGACAACAAGAGACAGAAGGCAGAACAAACTGAGCACTTGGAACAGGTGCTGACACACACACACACACACACACATACCCACAAACAGTCATCTACACACACTCTAATATGTTAAGCCAAAATATATTAAAATCATACCATTGAAACCAAAACAGAACAGGTAATCACACACAAAGAACACAATAAAAACATAAAATTGGCTACAATAATCTTAAGGTGTGTTTACATGTGTAGTTCGGTTCCCTTGGCCCAGACCAAAGCAGAATATGGTACATTGTTGCCTTTTAGCTCAGATTCACCCAGTGTTAAAACTGAACTTTTTGACAGTGAATCAAAAGTCACAACTGATTGGGCAGATTTTATGGTAAACATTAACTCTAAACTATGCTGTCCTCTGAATTTATTCATAGGTCTTGTTTTATTAACTTTATAAGCTTTCAAGTGGTTTTATTTGGGAAAAAAAGAGTTTCCAACCAGGAGGCACCACACAAACGCCCTTCAAATTTGGACAATGAAGTCGGGTACATTAACAGTGTTTTCATCACTGCAAAGGATAGAAGTGAATAGTCAAATAATGGAAATATAAAAAATGGTTAAGTACATTTTAAATATGTACTGTGAACTCACAGTTTAAAACAACAGTAAAATAGGCCAAAACTATTAACAATTCATGGAGATACTATAAAACATGTCTATGTGCCAGAGTGAGAGCTTTATCTGCTCTATGTTCCAAAGAAGGTGTCTAGGGAAAAGAGTACATTCTGTGTTTGGTCAACCAAACTGCAGTTCATTTGGAAGTGGGCCTAGACTGACCTCCTCAGAGTGTCTCAGGCTGCTTATTTAGTGCACACCGAGGTTCGACTGACAACATTCTCAGTTGTTTTAACCAACTGAAACAGAGCAATCGCTGCAGCGTTTGTTTTAATTGAACCAAACCTGCCAAGCGCGAACATGTCCATAGTTATATAAGTGGACCACGAAGAGCCTGGGAAAAGTCTGAAGAGGAGAACTCACGGACAATATCAATGGAGACCTGTTTCAGTCTTCACACCAGACAGCTGTGTTTGTCTGGCACCACACCACCTTGCAAACTGCTGCCAGGATCACTACTCTACATAAGCTGCACCCACCATCAGACAAACAGTAGACAGTACACAACTTCACACACACAGTAGACAGACTCTGTAAACTGTAAACACCCTTCCACTTCACATGCTCTCGGGCTGACAGTGCTGGGAAAGTAACAGAACACGCTGGACTCTTTCCGCAAAGATAGCGGCAGCGCTAATGCCAGCGAAGAGCTATCTCTGCCCCCTTTCCTGTAGTCACTGCAACTCCCAACAGATTCCAAGCTCAAGCTACAGTGAACATAATTACTGCACAAGGTTATATCTCACCTAGAGGATTCCTTCTAATCTCCCTAACTGCGAAATTAAGCAGGAACATATAAAGGAGTGGAAATGAGGGTAATATGGGCTACAGTGAAGTCAAACAGCCAGATTCATCTGCTTCTTTTTCCCTTCCCTCTGATTAATTTTACACAAAGTGGGTGGCAAGGCTGAGAGACAGATATGGAAGGAGGCTCAGGGAATCAAGAAAGGGTACTTTCCCTTAAACATGTCTAGGCTCTTTCAGGATACTGGGAGAGTGACGCTAGTCCTTATATTACTGTTAATATGACCTTCATTCCAAATGAAAGAAGAAACCTGCCTTGAAGCGCTGCCTATGGAAAAAAGGAAAATAGGGCTCTTACAAATAATCAGTTAAAACTATATATGATTAAAATGGAAAGGACATTCATGGCTTGTTCACATTCAGTTAAGTCAAATTTTTTGTTACTAACATAATGAGAACCTTAAATGTGTGAATACACCTGTCCTGCAGCTCAACAGAAAGACAGGAAGGACACAGCATAGTTACTTTTTTTTTTCAATCAAATGCCCAGCTCAGAAAAGATCTAAGGATCAGGTCAGGCAGACTGGCTATCTCCCAGCTCCTCTGCCACTCTCTCCTTACATGGACAAGAGGCTCAGGAATGTAGGAGGACAGCTGGCAGGGGAGGCAGCTAACAAAGCCCTGCTGTTGGCTTACTGTTGGCCCTGGGGAACATAACTCATAACCAGAGTTTTTTGGTCAGCTGTTTCACAGAAAGACATGCAGTCTATTAACCTGCCAGACTCAGAATTCACTGACCATAACTAAACAGTTAACAAGCATTTATATATGACACACTATAGGACATGTTCACTGTGTTGATGCAGCCAAGATTTATCATGCTCTACAATGAGCTCAATGGTCACATGGACATTCAGAAAGATGATTTTTTAGATGTAGAGCTGCACGATATGGACAAAATACTAGTGTCTGAACCAGACCAGAGGATGACCAACACAAACTGTGCAGCAGCAGATGAGCTATCGTCTCTGACTTACATCTACAAGGTGGACTGAAAAGGTAGGAGAGTCTAATAGAGTGGGCAGTGAGTGGACACAGTGTTTAAAAACTCCAGCAGCACTGCTGTGTCTGATCCACTCAGACCAGCACAACACACACTAACACACCACCACCACGTCAGTGTTATTGTAGTGCTGAGAATGATCCACCAGCCAAATAGTACCTGCTCTGTGAGGGTCCATGGGGGTCCTGACCACTGAATAACAGGGTAAAAGGGGGCTAACAACGTATGCAGAGAAACAGATGGACTACAGTCTGTAATTGTAGAGCTACAAAGTGCACCTATATAGTAAGTGGAGCTGATAAAATGGACAATGAGCGTAGAAACAAGGAGGTGGTCAAAATGTTATGTCTGATTGGTGTAGAGTGCCTGAACAGCGACATTCCTTGTGATACATTAAAAAGGTGTTCGTGAAACAATAAAGTGACTAAGTTAAAACTTGGCATGCATTATTTTGGATAGTTTGCCGGATTAAATCAGGGAATCAGGGGACCTGAGAGCTGATGTCCACCACAGTTTGGTCATTTCCCTGCTCTAACACACCGAACAAACCTGGTAACTAACTGGTGAGTTGAGTCAGGTGTGCTTGAGTGGGAAAATCACCAAACTGTGCAAAAATCTGCATCACTATGACGGCTCGTCTGAAACCGTGATCATAACTAGCTCAGGATGCTCCAGCACAGCAGTACAGCTATGTGATTGGTTAGAGAGTTCATTTGTGAATTGCAGCCTTCTGCTGTTACAGTAGAACAAAAGCCAATATTGTGATAAGGATAAACAAGTGAAATATCTTGCTGCCTTAGGTTCTAGTCTTTATATGGCCTGCCAGAATAAATCCAAGCCCCTGCAGAGGCCGCTAAAGCCTCTATTGAATCTGCTCTTTTGGGTCGAGGGGCGGCACACTATCTCCATTGCTTTAAATAACAAGTGTAATGAGTTTGGACTGGATATTTCCCATCATGCTCTCTGGCCTCCTGTCTGCCTAGTCTCGGCTAATCTCCCTGACATGAGCTGGAAGATGAGACAAAGAGAAGGCTTCTCTGGCTCTTCCTCTCGCTCTGTCTGTCTGTTGCCATCCTAAATCCTCTCCTCAATTTTTCAATCCATCTCACATATCTCTCACCCCCTCACCGCCCCCCCCCCAGCCCCCCCACTCTCTCTCTGGTATGTGTTGTGCTCTTCTGCCCTCAGTTCCTGCTGCTTTGGGCTTGGCTTGGCACCATGTGCCAGGTGGGGATTATCACTGCAGGGCCTATTTGCTTTGTTATAAAGTTGGGAGACCAGTGGGTCCTTTATTTTCTTCTGCAGCTCTGGCCGTCTCAAATTTCAGGAGTGAACAGTTCCTCCATAGTGTAAAAAAAGAGCAGAGAATTCCCCCCTTATGCCTGTCTCTGACTCCAGAGAGTTAGTCTGCTCTTGGCGACACAGCACTGGGTTCTGTCTGCAGACTAGAGGGGAAATGTGACACTTACACAACACATTCTCCACCTGCTGAGCAACTAGGAAGCCTGGCACTTCCTAAACAGTCCATCCAGAACCTCCTGCACCTCTCACAAACACGCCATCATAAATCAGATGTGAGTAAGATCTTCAAGTGTTTTGGGATACACAGAGGAACAGAGAGTTGACAATAACTGTGCGTGCCAAATGTCAGTGACAGTTTCTCCTTACAGGCTCCTGCCTAATGGGGTTCTCAGCCTCTCTCTAAGGGCCTCCCACTCACGTTTCCCTTTAATGTATCTACTTTTGGTTCAAAAATCACATTTACACAATGTTCTCCTTAATCTAGTCAACTGGTCAAGATATTTGATATCAGATGTTTGCTTCTTTAAAACTTCAATTTGTTTTTTATAGATTACAGTTTGTCATATAGCCAGAAACCACATGAGCACGTCTATTTCAGAATACCTAACAACATGCTGTGGTTTGAGACAACTGTGTGAAAAACAGGTGGGGTTTGAGCTTCTATTACATGTTAGTTACATTAGCCTCGTAGCAAAGAAGCAGACTTCAAACATCTTGACTGACTCACTGCCCTTGGGGGTAAAGGAAAAACAGAGTAAATTGATTATTTTTTTTTGGCAAATTAACGC